GGGGAAAGAACAGCGTCAGTACGTGGAGCGGTCACTCATTCCGGGTAGGGGGAGCGTCGTTGAAGTTCAACTTAAACACATCGATGGAACGGATAGCAAAGCAAGGCAGATGGAACTCGCTAGCTTACCTCAGGTACCTAAAAGAGTACACACCGGAAGAATTGGAGGAGTCAGAGAAACTGCTGGAGGCCATACACGATGTGAACTGGAACACCAAGATGACAGGCGATTTAGGTAGCTGAATCGGCCAGAATAAGAGGGAAAGATGAAATGAGAAACTTAATTGATGACTGGTGGTCTGTTATTGATAATAGACAAAGGACCGAGCCGTGAGTGTATGAGATAATCGTCGTACCATTCAAGGGGGAAGATACACCTCCCCCCCCCTCCCCCTGAACTGAGCAGGAAGTAAGTGAGTGACGTACCTGCATGTGATCGTCGCACAAATCTTAATTAGAGTTTGGAAGATGAGGGAAGGTAGAAGGTCTTCAGAAGACTCAGGCGCGCGGTGACCGTGTGGGGCGTGTGCCTGAGGCTCAGGACGCTCATCCAGGCACCTGAGAGGAGGCGCATGGCACACGCATATACACAAAGACACAGGCGCGCGTCTAGGGCGGGGGGTGGGCCCAGGGATGGAGGATCCCAGCCAGGGCCACATGGTTTCCGAAAACCAAGCCCCAGGCTGGGGCCCTGCACTACCCCAACCCGCGCCTTTCTGACATACATGTAAGGAGGCGCACCTGGGCAGGACCATCATGCACCAGGTAGCCACGGGACCGTGGCTTCACGTACTTGGCAACGCCAAGACTCGTCACCCAATCCATACTACAACTCATACGAGCAAGTGTAGAATGGATGACTAGAACCACCATATCACAGGTGGTTTGCCAGTCCATGACAGGCTTGCGGGATGTGTGACAGGTAGGCGGGTGAAAGGCGCACCGTCAGAGTTTTCAATAAACTCTGCCACTCACAAGGTGCAAATCTTTCCCACGCCAATACCGATCACACCTGTCAACGACAGACCCTCGCA